TTGAGCAGCCGCCGCACAACCTCCAGGCCCAGCCAGCCCCGGCGCTCCAGCACCTGAGGGACGGGGCAGGGGTCAGGGTCAGGCCAAGCAGGGCCGGGCCATGGCGCTGGGCACAAGCTCAGCGGGCAGAGCCTGGAGGGAGGCACCGACCAGCAGATGAACACTGCCAGCCCCAGCCCCGGCGCCCGGCGCTCCAGCACCTGAGGGACGGGGCAGGGGTCAGGGTCAGGCCAAGCAGGGCCGGGCCATGGCGCTGGGCACAAGCTCAGCGGGCAGAGCCTGGAGGGAGGCACCGACCAGCAGATGAACACTGCCAGCCCCAGCCCCGGGCGGAGGGACCCCCGCCGGACCCCCCGGAAGGAGGCCGGGCTTGGGGGGATGTGCACGGTGCTCCCCAGCAGCAGGCGGGCTCACCTGCTCAATGATCTTGCAGCTCAGGGGGACGTAGGCTCCACTGAAAACGTAAGCCATGTCCCGAGGCATTTTCAGGTCATACTCTCCGTCCACCCGGGGGATCTGCAGAGATGTGCGATACTCAGGGTACAGGATCAGCCTGCTCGGGGCTTCACTGACCCCCTCAGAGGTGCAGGCAGGAGGGAGGGTCCTCAGGAGGGACAGACGCCCAGAGTAAGCCTCTGCCCTACCTCCTGCCCCACCGCCCCAGGGCCAGGACCAGCAAACACACAGCCCGGGCAGGCTGTGCATCGGAGTGCCAGGGATGGAAACGCCACCTCTCCACCACCCCAGGACCTCTCCACCACCCCAGGACTGAGCAGAGCTGTCCCCCCAGTGCCAGGCAGCTGCATGCAGCCAGCACCGCTCCTGGAGTGGGGCCGCAGCATTCACAGCGGATGAAGCAAGCCCCAGCCCAGGCCCCTGCACGGCCACAGTGCCCGACCCTCCACCGCACTGGTGGGGCTCAGAGTCAGGGCAGACCAGGAAGCCTGCAGTGACCCCTGTCCAGGGGTTCTGGAGCGGCAGCAGCAGCTCTGTCCCTGTGCAGTGCGTGTCTCTGGGGGTGCCGAGCTTGCAGAGCCAGGCACGGGCACAGACTGACCAGAGCTCTTCTGGCAACAGTGGGTATGTGGGCAGAGCGGCAGGCTGGCAGCCCCACGAGGACATACCAACCCCAGCTTCTTGCTTATGGCTCGAAAATTGCTCTTCCTGGCCAAAGAATTAAATGCATCTGTGATCTTTCCTGGAAAAGAAGATGAGGAGAAACAGCTCAGAGCCTCTGGATTAATCGCAGCCCTGCCAGCTGCGGGCTGGGCAGAGATGCGCAGAGCTCCTGGCTCTAGAAGAGAACTGGCAGTAGTGCCTGCCAGCCCTGCTGCCCCTGCGGGCAGAGCCCGCTGCCCTGTCCGTAGCACCATCTCCGGGGATGCGCTCTGTGCCTGCAGCGTCCGCGTTTGCCACGTGCTTCCAGCCAGCTCTGAGGCAGCAGGTCTCTGCCCCAGGGCTCCCCACAGCCCAGGCTCCCAGGGGACTCGTGGGGCAGAGAGGGCTGGCTCTCACCTGCAGCGCGGTCCGTCACCAGCTTGCTGACTTTGCTCTCCACAGCAGTCAGGGTCTCTCCAGCCGACTGCTCGGTCAGCAGCCCGATGCGTTTGAGGTTGTGGAAGGTCAGCAAGTGCTCAGGCCCGTAGCTCTGGGGAAGGGGGCAGCCGGATCAGCACAGAGCCCCAGCTGCAAGCATCTGAAGGCAGCAGGGTGCCACCTCCATGGGGAGGCTGCTTAGAGCAACCCCGCAGGCAAAGGGCAGGGGCGGGCAGAGCTCAGGGCTCGTGTGGAGCCCGTGGAGGCAGGGGCTGTCCTGCAGAGACAGCCCGAGCATCCCTGGGGAGCGCTGCTGCCTGGCACCTCATGGCGAGCAGCAGCAGAGAAGGGAAGCCCAGTCCAACGCAATGCTTGCTCTGCTGTAAGCCCCCGGACACACTCACCTGCAGGTACTGGGTTTTCAGGGAGCGGTAGTCTTTGGGGATGAGACCTGTGGGGAGCACCAGAGTGAGCTCTGCGCCAAGGCTGGAGGGCCCTGGTGCCACCCCTCCCTGCCCAGCGCAGCCAGACACCTCACCGTTCTCCGTGATGGACAGGAGGCACATCAGGCGCAGGCTCTCGATGGGGGACACCTGCGTGGGAGCAGGCGGGGGGGCGCCT